TGTTCAGATTCCTCAACAATTGGCACTCCGACAGGGCGGAAACTAATTACAGGACCTCCTCCTGGAGGAATGTGAATGATGTTCTTTGAGCTTCCTGCAGGAACAACACCTTCCGCATCAACAATAATGTATCCCGCTTCAATTGCCTTCTCAATGGTAAATGTTCGCCCCTGATGTGAAATTGATCCATCACTACCAATTATTTTCTTCTCAAGGGCTTCCTTAACGTTTACAACACGTCCAGTTTTAGGGTCTTTGACAGAGATAGAAGAAGAATTAATTACGCCAAGTTCAATTCCATCTGCGAACGAAATGGCGCGGTCCACGTTGGGTGAAGTGATGTTACCGGTGCTTAGATCAATTATTCCCTTACGCTCAGCCTCGTATATGTGATAACCATTAATTGGCACTTCCATGGCTCCCTTCCCACCAGTAATGGCTCTATACACTGAAACACCACCAGGTCCACCAAGAGCGGTAGTTTCGGTTGTGCGGACACGCTTAACAGTAGTCACAGACTCTTCAATGTTCTTGTCAGGATAAAATTTAGGAGCTAGCTGCTGACCAGTTTCGGTGATAGATTCAGTTGTTTTCTCTTCGATAGTGGGACCAACGCCATTACTCTTCGATGGTACAATCCATTCGCTTGACGGGTCAACTAGCCCCTGATTCAGAGCGTCGTCAAGACTCATGTCTATGTCGCCTTGTCTGAATCTTTGATTACGCGAGTCGATAAGTCCCTGCTTCATTGCCTCCGCAAGAGTGACCTTGACTTGGTCGGTAGCAAGCTCAAATCCTGTTTGTCCTGGACGACTGACGCGTTTCTTCTGCTCCACTTTCTTCACCGGAGCGATGAGGGCGGGTGGTACATTGAACAGGGCGGCGACCTGAACAGCACCACGGAGGCTAACAAGGCCTGCATCGTATGCTTCACGAGGAGACATTTCGTGCTTGGTATTTTTGTTGAAGAAGACCGCCTTGGTAGGATCCACAATTCCCTTGGACACCGCTCGCACGAGATTCAGGTCGTAGTCGCCGCGATCACCTTTAATACCGACTGGCTTTACGAGAAGATCGTGCAGGGTTTGGTCGATGATTGTGGTCGCTCTCTGATCGGAAATAAGGTAGCTTTC